TATGTGAGTTCATTGAGGTTGTGCACTGATGTTGTCACCACAGCTTGAATAAATTTCCACTATGGGCACTGTATATTTGTCCCGAAGAACCACTATGTCCAGAAGGACCACTATGTCCCGAAGGACCACTCCTTAAGAACCATACACATAATACAATGGACCAAATAAGTGTACCGAAGTACCACATATATGTTTCACAGAATTACATATATGTCCCACATTCACTTATCATAGCTTTTCACTTTTACTTGTATTCCTTTTCACATAGTTCATAGTCATGATTCTTATCTCATAACACATGTTCGCATATACATGTTCTCATACAATCCCTTCATTCAATTATAACATTTAATCTAGCTTATTATACTAACATGTATTTATATCATTCATTTCACATACATAACATATCATATAACATTCTAATAGAAACATATATGAGTCATATTACTTTCACATATATTTTATCATGTATCTCATGATCACATGACCTATTATCATAAATACATGCATTTACATAGTTCACACATAAAGATGCATTCAACAATTAAACATATACATTTACTCATATACCATACATCTAACACCATATCGCTACATGTTTATGCTTTAGTACTTATATCATATAATATCAGAATTAGACTCATCGCAAGTCTTAATTCCTTAACATAACGTACACTTACTATCATGTACTCACCTGGTCTCAATGAACACTCTTAAGCTCTTGTTTTCTTTGCGTATCTTACTCTGCCGACCTATTTGAACTTTACTTTTGATCGATGTCTACACAATCATATATTTATACGATCAGTATCCCATTGATATACTATAATCTATAATTTCTTAGACTGAAAGAAAGATTTATTCCATTTCCCATTGAAGTGTATCGGTACATTCTACAGTGCATCGATGCATTCTTTAACATGTGCATCGATGCACTATCTATGCATCGGTACACAAATCACCTTCGATGTTCTAATCTTAAGGGGTGCATCGATGCACTTCTTATGCATCGATGCACTAATTGCATTCGATATTCATTTATTTGAGAGTGCATCGATACACATTGAAGATGCATCGATGCACACAACCCATAATTTCCATTTTAAGCACGAAATTCACTCTCTTTTCATCTCAACTCTTCATCTTTCACCTCCTTTAATATTCCTAACTTTCATACACACACTTAAACTCATTTTTACTCAATAATCATTTCTTTAAACTCAACATCCTATCCTTTATATGATATTCAAGAATCACACTCAATTTCCAACATGTTCTAAATCTAATTCTAACACTTCATATTCATTAATTTAACCATCGACAAGTCAAATTCATCTTCAAACTCTATTAACTCCTTCTATTTCCAATATTCACTTAAAAACTCATTTTTTTTAATTTCTCATAACTTGTTAATCCTTGAGTTTTAAGCCACCTAAAGCTTTCCTTAATCTTTCTTAACATCCCAAGAATCAAAACAAGCTTTAAAACGAAAGAATTAACCGACTGAAGACCCACTTACCTTATACAAGACTCCACGGTGGAAAGGAGAAAGAAGAAGACTGAAGAAGGCTCTGGAGAAATTATTTCCTTTCCTACGTGCTTATTACCCTTTATAAAGGGAAAATAAAAAATTATTCCCTGAAAATGACCATAATACCCTTATTACTTTCAAACTTTGTTATTAAATCCAACATCAACACTTTTCATTTAAATCCCTGAACTTTTCATCTTTTCTGAAATTGGTCACTAAATTTACCAAAATTCTATTTTGGTCATTGACCCAACTTTTAGAATGTTACAAAAATGCTCTATACGGTTTGAGGCATGCACCCAGTAGTTGGCATACCAAGCTTCGAGCCAGCTTGTTGAGTATTGTCTTTAAAGAGTCACGAGTTGACGTGTCCTTGTTTATCAAGAAGGAGGGTGTGCACTACATATATTTGCTGGTATATGTTGATGATATAATCATCACAGGCCATTCGAGTGTTGAGGTAGATGAAGTAGTTCGATTGCTAAGTGATAGGTTCTCACAGAAGGATTTAGGTTAACTCTCATATTTTCTGGGCATTGAAGTCAAACGAACTAATGAGTATCTTGCTTTGTCACAAAAGAAGTTTGTCATTGAGCTTCTTGAGAAAGCTAACATGTTGAAGGCCACTTCTACACCAACTCCCATGGCAGCAGCCACCAAATTACGTTGTGATGATGGAGAACTTATTGATGATGCACATAACTATCGCAACATTGTTGGAGGGTTGTTGTATGTGTGCCACACAAGGCCTGATATTGCGTTTTGTGTAAACAAAGTTGCACAATTTATGCATGCACCACGACAGTCGCATATGGTTACAATTAAACGAATCTTACGTTATTTGGTTGGTACAGTGAACTTTGGTCTAGTGTTTACTGCTGCTGGAACTGGAGTGAATGTGGTTGCCTTTGCGGATGCAGATTGGGTGGTAACCTTGATGACAGAAGATCAGTGTCTGGACACAGTGTTTTTGTTGGCAACAATCTGGTTGCTTGGAGCTCGAGGAAACAAAAGTCAGTATCTCATTCTACAATGGAAGTTGAGTACAAGAGTGTTGCTAACACTGTAGCAGATGCAGTCTGGGTTAGAGCCTTGCTTACAGAACTTGGTGTCTGTCATAAAGAAGAGCCAGTCATATGGTGTGACAACACCAGTGCTGTGGCTATGAGCGCGAATGGGTTAGAGCCTTGCTTACAGAACTTGGTGTCTGTCATAAAGAAGAGCCAGTCATATGGTGTGACAACACCAGTGCATGTCAATTATGTGCCTGCTGCTCATCAGATTGTTGATGGACTGGCCAAGCCATAGCTCGAAGTGCTCTTGAAGAATTTCGTGCAAAGTTGTGTGTAAAGCTGTGTTGAGAAGCATGAGAGGAGAGGAAGCAGGAAAAATGTTGAAGTACACTAGTACGCTCGTGCATGGATGGTTCTGGTGCTTGTGCATGGATCGTTGCTAGCTGCAGGTGCAGCTGATATCTGCTCTTGGAGTTGTTGCAGTTAGTTTGTTATTCAATTAGAGTTGTTAGCAATCTTGTAACCGTATGAATGATTGTTGTATAATGCATGTAAAGGATGGTGTTAATCAATGAGAAAGAAAACATTTGTTTCTAAGTTGCAGTTTCTTAGTTTAATAGCTGCAGCTCTCTCAACAATTTTATGTCAATGTTAATATTAATTTTATTAATGTTCGAGGTATATAATATAATATGAAAGCATACTTTAAAGTTTTGATAGTTTGATAAAACTATAATATTTCATTTAAGGAACGAAAGCGCCAGCAGGTGTTGATTTGGCAAAGGTTTGTTTTATGTTCAAATGGCAACAAAAGAAATTTGTGTACGCAAATGTGCCACAGCTATCAACTATGGACTTGGTTAATTAATTAATTAATTTGTTGGTATTTAGAAGTAAAAAGGAAATACGATTGAATTATAGATCTGGTCCTCATATTATAATTCGATAACTTTGAGTCCCTATATTTTTTAAATTTAAAAATTCAGTTCTAATTTAAACGGGATACGGAGAATCTGACATTAAATATAAGGACATATTTGATAATATGAATTGAATCCACAACTTACACATAATTAAAGATGAACATAGGACATGGACCCGGCGAGTTTCGATTCAACCTGATACGATCACCTTTTAATTCAATTTCATATAAAAAATTTAAAGATAAGGTTAAGTTCGAATTTATGGTGAAAAATTATCGACCTGACCTAATATAATAGTATAATTATCTTTTATATATTAATGGATAATTGCAATAGTATCACTTTTTTATATTTTTCAATTAGGCCTTTATCTTACCTAATAAAAATGAAAAAAAAAATATATATATATCTATATGTATTTGTGTCGGGTAAGATTAGATAAAGGTTTTATCTTAAAAATCAAGTATACTTAGAGAATGGGTAGAGCCTCCTAAAATTTGGGTCGAATTAAATTAGGGGACGAGTATAGGAATAGAATAACTAAATCGAGTTTCGATAAATCAAAACTTAACCAATTAACCCTACCCGACTCTTATCCATCTATACACGTAATGCAAGGATTAACAACATATATAGCTTTAAACCCTATAATTTATTATTGATTCGTGATGAAAATTTTAAATTTTAAAAATATAAAAATTAACAAATTAAAATTACATAAACTAAAATATAAAACTTTGTTAATATAATCTTTTATAAATTTAAAAGATATATTATTTATAAATATCAATATTGAAAGTTAAGTTTTGTATCTCACTATCGTACTCAATAGGATTTTATATAATATAAAGACATCATATTTTGACTAAAAATAAATAAAATATTCCTACTTAGTCTCTTCCTATTGAAACTTCGTGGAAAAGGAAAACCTAAAAAAGGAAAAAATAAATGTTAAATGAAAGGAGGCCTAAGACCCAACCACCTCATGCATAATATAAAATTATCATGCATGAATTGTGTTAAATGAGACAAAATATTAAATATTTTAATAATTATAGGGTCGATCATAATAAATCTTTGTATCATCGATTAGAGATAATAAACTTTTTATGGTCTCGACGTGCTCTGATCCAATTCAAATCGAATAAGATCATTTTTTCTAAATCGATAGTCGGGACAAGTAAAGATGTATAGTTTGTTAAAAAATTTAGAGTCGAGTCTGGAAAAATGAATTGACTTTTTTTTTTTGGTTAAATTTTTTTAGGTTAGGTCGAGCTCGAGGTCATATCAAATTAAATTAAAATTGAGTAAAACTCTTAAGTTTTAAATTTAGATCATATGATAAAAAGTTTGATTTGTCTAGATGTTTATCATATTAGATATCTGTTTATTAATCAATTAATAAATTAAATATTAATATTTATTAAAAAAAACATGCATGATTACAAAAATATATAAATAGTCTTGTATTATTCCATCGACGGATGCCAATTGAAAGCTGTCTAGTGCTCACCACCACCAGATAAGAACAAAATAAAATACACAAAAATAGCGTCGGTATGATCTTCTCTTGACCCTTGCTTTTTCCTTTGTTTTTTTGTTCGAACAGTAAAAGAAAATTTCACCACCGCAATAACCGCCGCAACCGACACCCAAAATGAGGAAGGAACCACCGCCCTCCTCCCACACTTCCACCACCACCACCACCACCACTACCACCTTCGGGAAACTATTTGTTTGCGTCGAAACAAAACTATTAGTCGCGACATTGTTATCTTTTACTTTAGTTATGTTCCTCTGGCATCTCCCTCCTTACTACCAGAACTTCGTCTCCACCGCCCGTCCTTGCACCGCTCCACTCACCACCTCCGTCGCCGTCTCCGCCGTTGCCAACACCACCGCTACAAGTTTGCTATCCACTAATGTTTCACTTCCTTACACGGCTAAACCGATAGCTAAAAAGTACAACTCGGTTCCTAAACCCAAACCCAGGGATCCGAACAGGCGAGTCTTCGAAGCCTACGGTAACGCGGCGGCTTTATTTGTTCAGATGGGCGCTTACAGAGGCGGACCGACGACGTTCGCGGTGGTCGGATTGGCTTCGAAGCCCGTTCACGTCTTCGGCAAGCCGTGGTTCAAATGCGAGTGGATCTCGAACAACGGATCTTCTTACCGATCCAAAGCTTACAAAATGCTACCCGACTGGGGCTACGGCCGAGTCTACACCGTCGTGGTGGTGAACTGCACCTTCCCGTTCAACCCGAACCAAGACAACACCGGCGGGAAGCTAATGGTGAACGCTTACTACGGCGAATCCCAGAAAAAATACGAAAAATTCATGGCTCTAGAAGAATCGCCCGGATCTTACAACGAATCGAAATTCCAACCGCCGTATCAATACGAGTATTTGTACTGTGGATCGTCTTTATACGGGAATCTCAGCGCCGATAGGATCCGCGAATGGATGGCTTACCATGCTTGGTTCTTCGGACCCAGCTCTCATTTCGTGTTCCACGACGCCGGCGGGGTGTCGCCCGATGTTATGGCGGTTCTCAAGCCGTGGGTCCGAGCCGGGAGAGCTACGGTTCAGGATATAAGGGACCAAGCCGAGTACGATGGGTACTATTATAACCAGTTCTTGGTGGTGAATGATTGTTTGCACAGATATCGACATTATAAAACTTGGATTAATTTCACTAAAAGCCCCCAATTTATCCTCGGATATCAATTTAGTCCTAAGCTTCAAATCTTACTAGTATTGTTGTATGAATCAGTTTTTTTCTGTTCATACAATAAATACACATAAATTTATAATTTGATTCACGTGTTAGATATTTTACGTGTAGTATTTGAGGTATAACATGTACGTTTGTAAGATCAGGTTTACAAACGGGCTTGATTGATATGATAGTAATGCTTTGAGTCTATTAGAATGTTTTAAAGTTCGGATTTAAGAGATGATTTGATTCATGATTCATATGATTTGTCAGGCAATGGGGATTTGAGAAGCTACTCTTCAGAGATTCAAGAACCAAGATTCGACGTGATCGGAAATACGCTATCCAGGCAAAAAACGCATACTCAGCCGGAGTACACATGTCGGAGAATGTGATCGGGAAAACATTACACAATACGGAGACAAAGATCCGTTATTACCACTACCACAACACGATCACACACCATGGAGAGCTATGTCGGGAGTACCTCCCCGACACCGCGAAAACCAATGTGAATTGGTTCAACAAGTTGCCTTATGTCTACGACGACAACATGAAGAAACTAGCCAACACCATCAAAGAATTCGAGCTCAAGACCATCGGAAAGAAACCCGAAGCCTTAACTAACAACGACCTAATTGATCCGATCCAGATGGATTCGGCCCAAAACTAATCCGATCCGGCCAAGCATTTTTGGGGATCAACTCACGTGCTTATTTGTCATCATTCTTGGATTGGGAGTTGCTTGAGCTTTACTCCTCCATTGCAGCCATGGATTTTTTAGTTTCGACCCCACAAGTACTAAAATGAATGGGAAAAAGCTGGAAAGAGGGACCAATGTATTGGCTGTATAGGCGAGTGTTTTACTTGTATCAAAATTGCGCATAGGGTCCCCTTCTTTTATAATAATTAATTTTTTATCCTTATATCTATGGTGGGAATACTTGTAACATTTATTTTCTTTACATTTTTTTATTTGTTCCTTTTTATGTTTTTGCCTTATGGATTCATATCAGTGATAAATTTATAGCTTCTGATTTTTTTTTAATAATAACATAAATTATTTATATTATTGAATGTGCAAAATCAATTATGTTTAAGAGTTTTAGTAGAAATAATTAAATCATTTTTGTTAAATATTGGACTGTAGGCATATTAATCAGATCGTCAATTTTTGATTTATTCAATAATAGTTGAATACGGTGGAATTCTTGTAAACTATTCTGAAAAAAAATCAATTAAAATATATCATTTAAACGTGATTTGTGATTTGGATTTAGAGAAATTATACTCAACGTAAAATAAAATTTGATTTTTATGATAAAAATATACATTTAACTCAATAAATATATATTTATTTTTATTAAATAAAATATGACTACAATTAAAAATATACAAAGAAAAATATTATAATAATAACTTTAAAATTCAATTATACTATTATTATTGAAACATATTGAATAAAAAAATTCAACCTAAATTAGAATCTAGACTTAACTTTTTAATAAAAATGAATCTTATTAAATTAAATTCAAATTTATTAAATTCAAATCGAATATTCACTATATAAATCATATTCTAAATTGTTCAATAACTGAAGTTTGAAAGTACTGTTATGGTAGATAAAATTATTTACCTTGCAATCAAAGAAACAATAATACAAGCCTAACTGTACGCGCTTGGATGAGCTGTACGCTTTACTTTGGGAACGTGTCTACACAGCTCCCACGTGGCTTCGTTCCACTAGGTTTGGTGGGGACTACGACTTGGTTTGTTACCCAACGACACGACAGAATGACGGCGTCGTCGTCATCACGGAACGCAGAACATTTGCCGTCAATCACGTGGCTAGTAGAATGACGGGGTGCGTGGGTCGCACCTGGCAGCGTTTTGATTTGCGAGCTGGCAGACACGTGTAGGGCTTCCAATGAAGCTGTCACATGCAAATATTATCTTGTTATATTTTCTAGGTTTACTTTGATGTTTGATTAAAGTTTAAGATAAATTATATGATTAGTCACTAATCTATCCTTTTTGTCATTAATTTATGCTTGTTTACTATAATGAAAACCCATTTTCATAAAATAATAATAAAGTGAAAGCAATTCCTCTCTATATAAGCAATGAAGGTGAGATCTCAAATGCTTAAAATGTTTGTAAAAGTGAAAGCATATTTATCATAAATACTCCGATTTGAGTTAACTTCTCTCAATATACGAGCAAGTACATATACCAATATATATAAGGGATGGATTGAAGGATAATGGGATGGATTGAAGGATGATGGAGATAAAAGGTGATTTTTTCGAAAAATCATCGGTGATCGGTATATTTATCGATCAGTATATTTATCGATCTAATACTGGTCAAATTATATTTCTCGATCTAACACCCGTAGCAGTAAAGCGCACTCCCTGAATCGCGCTATACGCTGATTTGGCACCACGTGGGCATAGCGCGCCCCCTGCCCCGCGATATACGGTGATCTGACGCCACATGGGTATAGCGCGCTCCCTGATCCGCGCTATACCTGGGTATCCGACACGTGGGGTATAGCGCAGTACAGGGGCACGCTATACTCCTAAATACCCGGCCCTTCACGTCCCAATCCTCCCTATAAATACCCTATCCTCAATCACTTTTATCACACCAAATTCTATAAATTTCTCTCAAATACTCTATTTTTAAGGTATATTTTATAATATTTTTACTATTATGTATTTACTTTATTTAATATTGTACTAATATAATTCTTTTGCAGATATAATGGAAGGCAGTCTACTTCGCTCGGGATGGAAATCATATATCTACACTTTGCTGATACGGTAACATTTTAACGTTTAATTTAATTTAAATTATTAGTAATATTTAGTTGATTTATTTAATGCATGATTATTAGATTAAGAATTAAATATCTCGACACTTTGCTGATACGATAACATTTTAACGTTTTAATTTAATTTAAATTATTAGTAATAATTAGTTGATTTATTTAATGCATGATTATTAGATTAAGAATTAATTTTTGTAATTATTTATTTTTAGGAGAAGGATCGTGTATTAGATCCTTTTATTAGGAATCTTAAGTTAGTGATACCCAGTCGTGTCTTGCCGTATTTAGTAGAGGCTGGATTCGATTACATAGGTAGATATCAGGGTCACTGTGAGATAGAGCCAGACCTGATTTCTGCCTTAGTAGAGCGGTGGAGGCCGAAGACCCACACATTCCATCTTCCGTGTGGAGAGCGCACGATCACGCTTGAGGATGTTTCTATGCACCTGGGCCTTCCGGTGGATGGATATGTGATATCGGGGATAGCTTCCGGTTCTTGGACTACTTTGTGCTGGGATAGTCTAGGACGTGTCCCGAAAATTTTTATCGGAGGTAGGATACCGTTAAATTGGTTAGATGCCAATTTTCGGGAGTTGAGCGCAGACGCCTCTGAGGATGAGGTTAAGATGTATGCACGGGCATGCATACTGTAGCTGATAGGAGGGTTGCTGATGCCGAACAAATCGCGCAACCTAGTTCACTGCATGTGGTTGCGACATCTTAGCGACTTTCTTCTCGTCGGATCATTCAGTTGGGGCTCGACAGTTTTGGTTTTGCTGTACAGGGAGATGTGTGGAGCCAGTGACTACAGGCGTAATGCTATCGACGGATGTCTCCTGTTGCTGCAGTCTTGGGCATGGTATCGATTGCCCTTTTTATGTCCCGTTGTGAAGAACCCATTCGTATTTCCACTACTTCTGAGGTAATTATAAAACTGATTTTGTATTTTAATAATTTTATACAGCGTATAACAATTTTTTTTCCTTGAATAGGTGGTCTACTGATAGGAAAATTCATCAGGAGCTACCTGATGATTTAGAAAAAATTAGGGTGCTAATCGATCATAAGGCTGGCACACAGGTATGAATTTTAATGTTTAAAAATCGATTTTAGATTATAGTTATATAATTAGATTATTATTTTGATAAAAATTATACATTATTTGTTTTAGTTTGAATGGTTGTCATATTCTACTGATGATGTGAGGGCGGTGATCCCACCTGAGTTGAGGGGTCCATCAGATGTTTAGATGGTGATGGTCCCTCTGATCTGTTATGCGATCGTCGAGTGGTACTCCATTAATCGCGTGCTCTGGCAGTTTCGTTGTTTCAACCAATTCCGGAAGCACCTAGCAATATGGACGAGTTGCATAGCTTAGATAGACACGGCAAGACAGATACAGATTGGCTGGTGAGGCATCATGAGTGGGTCGTGTTGTGGGAGGATCGACATCGGCGCATTCCACGTAGAGAGCCCATTTTTACTGACTTCTTGATGTATGCTGAGGATTATTATGAGTGGTTCAACAGTAACGGGAAATCGTTTCTACTTCCCGAGGATGCACGAGGGCAGACCTTTCCACGACGTCGACAGAGACGTTCACCGACACATCACCATCATCCCCCGACTCGTGGACGGAGAGCAGGTGCTTTCGATTCATCCTCAGCTGCACCAGCAGGACCTTCCCAGTAGCCACCGCAGCCATATATGATGCTGCAACCATATATGATGCCGTCATCGCCTTTCCATTACCAGATGCCGCCGCCGCCGCCTTCACCTGGTTTTATGACCCCGCCACCGTCACATATGATCCCTCCTAGAGGCTATTATGAGTCTATGTTTGCATATCCGACTTGGGGTTCATATACTGGATATTTGGCAGATTCATCCTCATCACCCATGGCCGCAGCACAGACACCTCCTGTACAGTTTTCACACTCAGCGATGTCTGGGTTTTCCCAGTTTTCGCAGGCCGGTGGGATAGTCAGTCATACACCTCCAGGGTCCTTATTCTATGGAGGTGCTTCATCGTCATCAGCTCCTCATCAACCTAATGTACCTGCTCAGGATGACGACGATAACAATGACGATGGTGACGACGACGACGATGACAGCGAGGAGTCAGAACCAGTGATACAAAGAAATCCTCCTCGAGACCGACAGCCACCGCTTTGCGGAACACATTTGCGTCGCAGGCATCGATAAATTTTTTTATTATATTTGTATTTACTTTATTTTGTTTAATTGTAATTTTTTATTATTTCTCATTTAATACTTACTTTATTTTGTTAAATTTGTTGGACTTTTTTTTAATATATTTTAGTTAATTTTGTTTATTAACATTTAATATCAGTTATTGTAATTTGGTTATCATTTACCATTTAATTCTTATTGTAAGTTTGTTGTATTTAAATATCAAATTGTTATTAGTTTGATAAAATTTAATAATTGTGTTCGTTTTTTTAATCTTCATCAGCGATTATCGAATGACATTAACTTGAAGTAAATGCAAATTAAAATACAAGAATTATTATTGATTAAACAAATACATCATTTCCTTATCAATTGTTACTTGATGACAACAGAAGTGGACATGTTTTTCTAGTGTGTCCTAGGTTTCTACAATGGCCATATCTTCTGTCTTGTCTAGATCTTTCTCGAATATCCATATCGCAATGAATTTGATTGGATTTTAGACGACCATGCTCCCTCAATAAACTCGGATTTGGTACAATCGGAAGCCAATCTTGAACCTCATCAGGGTCTTTGTCATTACCTATGGGGGGAAACTCAAATTCGTATACCTTAAAAACTTCAGATAGTAGGTATACGGGATCCACAAAATGGTTATAGTCTTGACGTGTATGCGAGCAAGCTGTTATCACATGAGAGCATGGATACTTCAAAGCTTGAAAAAACCCGTAGTCGTACGCTCTGTCCCTTAGATTTACTCTTAACGACATAGCTTCAATCCATTGAAGAGGTCGGGGCAACTCTGTGATACGAAACATTTCATGCCTTCTAGAGAAACTTGTTACAGACATTCCATTTAATGCAGCAATTTTTTTCTGTAGATCTGCAACTAATCTAGGGTGAT